ACGATTTTACCGGGAGTTGGGACAAAGTTAGACCAGTTCTGAAGTCTTGAGACTGTCTACTTTCAGACTAAATATAGCACACGTAAGTTGGGAAACGTTCCAGAAAGTGCCAAATGTCCACTTGGGGGCCGACTGCGTATTCCTTACCAGATGTGATGGAGACGTCTCTTCGCTCGCAAGATCTTGCACCTGCAAATGTCAGGGAGATGCGAGCGTCTATCAAGACGGTACGTCCCGACATCCCTCTCGAAGGGTCTACTAATCGATGCCGTGTCATTTTGCGACACGTCGACCGCCGGCGAGATGAGGTTCTTCACAAAATGAGACATGTGCCCCAAAACTTTATAGTATCCCCTACACAAACACACACACTCACACCCCCCCCACACACACACACACATATATATATATATATAATTATTATTATTATTATTATTTCGACAGATTGTATTACTTTAACGTTATTTCTGCGGATATCCATAATTTAGAAGACGCTCTGTTTATATATAAATATATTATTATTATTATTATTAACGGAAAAATTCCCTTTCCGCACCCCAGTGCTCAATCGATGAACGGGAGCATAAACAGTCATCCACAGACAGCTTGTTTTACTGTTGTTATGGGCTCCTCCCCTTTTTCATATAAGTGGACTCGACCAGAGTGTTACTTGGACTGCTGCCAGCAAATACCCTGAGTCAGTCCGAAAGTGAGTATTGAGAGAAGAAGACTGAGGTTGTGATTGAGTTGGAGGTAGAGTAATAGTGTGAGGTAACCGCTTGTAGAAGTCAGATACAAGCACGTAGATTCTAAGGAAGTCCAACTTCGAGACTGTATATATCTATATGTTATTGCTACTAACCGCGTCCCTGGATTTACTAACAGTATTACTCTTTGTATGATTGTGTAAATACATTTAATTTTTTATCTTTATTTCTTGCGTTTGTCATTCATTAGAGACCAAATTTCATCTCAGAATCCACAACTGTATACATATATATATATATATATATATATATATATATATATATATATATATATATATATATATTATTCCCTTTCTCCCCCTAGTTCTCAATCGGCGAACGAGACCATAAATAATATATATATATATATATATATATATATATATATATATATATATATATATATATATATATATTTTTTTATTACTTGCACCCATGAAGATGATCTTGAAAAAAGATCGGAAGTATTTCGTAAATGAAAATAAAAGAAATTTAAACAGTTATAGCACATATCTCTCATCCTTTAACATCAATACACGGAAGATTATTCGTGAGTATGAACGGATTTTGTTAAAAATTAGCAGACATTAATTTATTCAGTCAGACATGCCTAAAAGAGAATTTGATGCCTAAATACAAACAAATTTATATATATATATATATATATATATATATATATATATATATATATATATATATTCATTCTTTTTACATTGTAAACAATTTATTTGATTAGTATATAAATTAGTTCTAGATTTATTTTCGATTGACCACGACGTCCAAGACAATCGGGGATGTATTTAGAAAAAATAAATACATCAACAATTCAGAAAGCGGTATTATCATATATATATATATATATATATATATATATATATATATATATATATATAAAAGTATAAAATTTAATATTACAAGACATATTAAAAGTATTAAATAATAAAAAAAAAAACTCAACAACAAGGGGGGAAGAATCGGTTTCGCTCCCGCTCGTCAAACCACGGGAGATTGAAAATTAAAACAGAGAAATGTACATAATCACAGGTGGGAAAAAAAAAAACAAATTACATGTATATATATATGTATATATATATGTTCAATATAAATAAGGAACTAGATATGACAGCGGAGTCCCAGAAACACTAAATGACTTGCGGGACCCGATGTAAAAGTGCCTCCAGAAGATAGATAGATAGATAGATAGATAGATAGATAGATAGATAGATATAGATAGATAGATAGATAGTTTCGTACTATTACGAGTATTGAATTTACCGCATATGCGAAAGCTGGCCGCGGGAAATTCAGTGAGCATATTGTCACTCTTCTCTGATAGTCGATCGAAGATTACTAACCCTTCATCCTGAGGTCGATACAAATCAAAAACGAATGTGTTACTATGGGAGATCCCTGATGTGAGCACCAAGTACGTGGCCGTGGCTATTTAGGGTGTCGTATTTTTTAGCTATTATTCATTACACCAGTAGCACATCCGATACTGACTAGACTCGACGTTCATTAACCTTTAGCACTCTGTATGTCACTTCATTTGCTGTACAAAATATATCCAAGGTAAAATCACTGACTAAATGTATGGCCAAGCCTTCTACCAAGTAAGTCCTTAATTCACTTCACTTTTCCATAACTGCCAAAGTGTTATATACGAATAAAGTGTCGCTGCTGAGACTAGTGTTTGAACATAGATTGCCAGTGAGCAAACACAGGCGATCCCACTTTGAATAGGTAGATCACGTGATACTAAATGAAATGTATATATGGAAATTAGCATGGCGTCTAATTGATCTCTCTTTGTACACTATTCACCATCTCTATACTATTCATTATACTATTTCTCTGTACTGATTACTATACGGATTACTATTCGGTGGTTACTTTTCGAGTGAGTATTTCCGAGTAAGTACTATTAGTGCGAGTGTTATTCGAAGGCGTTTGACACCGGCGTTACTATAGTTGTATCTGCGATTACAAAGTCTCTACTACAACGAGCATTACGAAAGTGACAACAAGTATTCGTTGACATTGCAAATGTGGCAACAAATGTTCGTTAACATCACAAAACAATGTATACCTCTTTCACTGTATGAAAAATTATTGACTCTGATCCCAGAACAATAAGGGGTTTGAACTTCATAGTTGTGTTGTCATATCCTGCTACGACAACAGTTTGAACGAAATTAACAGTAAGAATACTGCAACTAAGAGGCCTTGAAAAAGAATTCAGTAGAAAAGGAAGTAATATTTATAATGCAGTGTTCTAAAGGTTAACTTTGCTGACCGAACAATTACATCGAAAGTTGCATTTATTGGTAAATTAAGAATGTAATAATGCCCTTATTTATCCAGATGTTCATTGAGTGGGAGATGTGGTTGACCGCATCGGGAGAAGCCTGGGTGAGTCATCGCCCCATGGCTCACAAATGGTGCCAGTTCGTCGGGTGGAGGTTGTAGTGCTGTGAGTTATGGCAGGGAAAATGGTGTTTCGTCGGAGTGCCGGACGCCATTATTCATTTTTGTATGATCAATGATTGTTTTATCATAAATCACACAAAATGGCGTCCTGCCGACCTTAACGATCAGATTCGCAAAATTGGAGGCAAATAAAAACGCTAGTTGCTTTACATGCGAACAGTTATATTTTAGGATTGTGCAAAAGTCTCCAGCGTTTTCATTAAATAATAAAAAAAACGCTTTCTACTATGTATTCAAACCCGAGGTGTAGAAACATTTCTTTATCCACATATTACATACCATCTTTAAGTGAGCACCTCGACTCGTATCGTGATGTAAATGTTAGCAAACTTGTCTAGCTAGAACAATTACGACTTAGTAGTAGATTCGATCCTCACCGAGTGTCCCAATCTTCCGGCCTTGTGCTACTATACAGGGTGTCCATAAAGTTCGTGTGCATTTTAAAAAAATTATATCTTTACTAGCAGCATGACCCGGCGTTGCCCGTACTTGATTCAAAATTTGTACGACTCATACAGCAATCGCTATCACTTGACTTAAAATATTTTTGCCTTTAAAGGAGTGCCCTTTTCCGTGCTGATGTTGCTACATGCCTTACTTCTTGCCTATCTCACACTGCGAATTTTTTCGAAGCTCTATACTAAACATTAAATCTGTTATGAAAAAAGAACTAAACAAAATGAACACAAAACGATCAGCTTTAAAAAAGGACTCGGAACTGGAAAAACCGAATGAAAAAAGAATGTTAACAACAAATACATTTTCACACCCAACTCAGTTCTGCGGAATCAGAATCAACGTTGAGTTTAAGCAAGCGAATGAGCCAATTGGCGTAAAGTGCCATGCAGATTTAAATTTTTCCCACTTGTGACGAATGCAGCTATCGATGTTTTTTTTTGTTTTTTGTTTTTTTGCATGCTAGCATGCTAGTTGACATTCGTGTCAGTCAGCTGTTGGCTCTCACGCTGGCCAATAGAATCTTCCTGCCTCTTCTTGGCAGCCAGCTATAGGCTCTCACTCTGGCCAGTGCAAAATGGACGCAAACTACATGAAAACTGTCGTAGAAGCATGAAAAAATCGATTATTTCTACTATCGATGGGAGTTGTGAAATGCAAAGTCGGTGTTGGCCCTCCCGCTAACATGGAGCATGTGCATGTAAATTTTGGTGCAAATCCGTCGAAAATTGCGTCCGTGCATTCGTTACACACACACACACACACACATCCTGCCTTTTATAGATAGAGATTTGTATCTGCGATAGAAATAATCTGTAAAAACTGTTACAAAGTTTAATGTACCTAGTTTTAATTATGGCTAAAATAACTAATGTGATTTCAGGCATTACTGTAAATCAGTTGGCAAATGTTTTCCGTGAACTGCAAAATCGTATTACCCTTCGTATTGCTAATGATGGAGGACAGGTGGAAACTTTAATAAAATTTCAATAAAACCTTAAAAAATATAGATTTATTTCTTTCTAATTTTTTTTACAAATTATTTCTATCGCAAATACAAATAAAGTTATAACGTTTTAAATTGCACACGAACTTTATGGACACCCAGTATTACATACCATCTTTGAGAGGGCACTGCGACGCGATGTAATGTTTAGAAACCTTGTCTCAGAGAAGCCGTGACGGGTTCCACAATTTCTTCCTTCTTAGATTTAGCATACGGGGGAAATAAGCGTGATTCGACTCCATGGAATTAGCATGGCGTCTCCTAAGTGTACATATTTTAGAAGGCTTCCGGATACGTCATTTTTAAACACCGGTTCCTTTACGATCACCGAAGTTAAGCAACATCGAGCCTGGTCAGTACCTAGATGGGTGACCACTTGGAAATACGACGTGTTGTAAGCTTAGACATGCGAGTGGTGGAATTTTTAATCGGTGAGCCGGGTTCAAATTCCAGATGGTTCCGTTATATTCACTTACGCGCAAATATCCTTGGGAGGAGTAGGAATCCACCTCTTTTCTCCCCAGCTATGGGTTAATTAGTAACACTTGTATTGCTAAATCACTATTATCTCAAAAGAATTCCTATAATCTGAAAAACCAAACACATTCTGGCTTTAAATAACCTGCAACTGGTGGATAAACTGTAAAAACGAATCAATATTTAATCTATTTTTCGACTGATTTAACGACTCTTGTAAAGATAGAGAGAAAGAGTCACATTCTTACTGGAGTGATAAAAAGCATACAGTATTCTTTCAACAAGGAATCTGTTGTCTCTCCCGAAGTCGAAGGGGAAAAGGACGAAGCCTTCAAAATTCGAAGTACCTGTAATTCAAAACCTGGGGGCAGGGCAGTACTCTTGGGGCTATTAACTTGTTGGTTTATGAGATTCTTTTCAGTCTAATGTCCACATCTTGTTTACGATAATTACAAGATTTCGACTATTCGACCGAACGATGATGGAACGAGAATTATATTTATATATATATATATATACATATATATATGTGTGTGTGTGTTTATATATATATATATATATATATATATATATATATATATATATATATATATATATATATTTAAATTTTAAATAAATAATTATATTTATGCTCTACTTTTGTATCGAGCACTATTTTTAAAAATAATAACTAAAATACTAAGGAAATTTGGATTTTTACCTAACCAGTTCCTTCCTATTTTTTATATATTTTTATATATATATATATATATATATATATATATATTATATGTTGTGGCCTTTTTAGACCAGAAATAAAGACACAAAGAGAGGAATTGATTTATCTCTCTCTCTCTCTATATATATATATATATATATATGTGTGTGTGTGTGTGTGTGTGTGTGTGTGTGTGTGTGTGTGTGTGTGTGTGTGTTGTGGCCTTGTTAGGACCAGAAATAAAGACACAAAGAGAGAACTGAGTTATCTCTCTCTCTCTCTCTCTCTCTCTCTCTCTCTCTATCTATCTATCTATATATATATCTATATATATATATATATATATATATATATATATATATATATATATATATATATATTTTTTGACCTTGTTAGGACTAGAAATAAAGACACAAAGAGAAGAATTGAGTTAAATAAATATATGAACAGAAATATTAATACTTACATATACAAACGAGAGTGTTCGGTCCTACTGTCACAGCTGACTGTAGGAAACGTCTCTCTCCAAAAAGGCAGTACATGCTCATATATATATATATTATATATATATATATATGATCTCCATATATATATATATATATATATATATATATATGATCGCCATATGTGTGTGTGTGTGTGTGATCTCTCTCTCTCTATATATATATATATATATATATATATATATATATATATATATATATAAAAAGTGAACATAGAAGTCAACACTTAGAGGCGACAGTCTGTTTCATGCTATATGCAATCGTCAGGCCACATATGCTGTTATTTTTCTCGGCTATTTATATATATACGGGTTAGTGGTGCATTGTGGGTATTTTATTATGGCGGTTATTTTTTACCGGAAGTCGCTTTGTTTATTTATTTGGGTCAAATTATATTGCTCGTTTTTTATTTTTTTGTTTCTTATTTTATATATTTATTTCTTAACGTAGTAAAAATTGAATTTAGGTCAATTTATTAGTAAAAAATAGCTATCATTACTTTCCCCGACCAAAATAAATTATTAAATAAAAGATCCGAGCTCATCTCAAAATGCAGGCATGAAAATAAATTTTTACTACGTAACCTAAAAAATGAAAAACGGAAAAAATAAAAACAAACAAATACACTAATAAAAATAAAATAAAATAAAATAAAATAAATAAATAAATACTATATTGCTTAAAAACCGAAAACCGAAAAGAAAAATATACTAATAAATTGACCTAAATTTATCCAAGTAAATAGACAAACCAATCCCAAATTAAAAACTGTTCCCGCCAAAAAAATAATAGTTAGAATGAACTAAACAACAAACCCCAAAATTGAACAAATGGCTTGAATTAAATTCTCAAACCAAAACAAAACTCTTAAATACGTGATATAAACAAATTTTTACTACGTTAAGAAATAAATATATAAAATAAGAAACAAAAAAATAAAAAACGAGCAATATAATTTGACCCAAATAAATAAAACAAAGCGACTTCCGGTAAAAAATAACCGCCATAATAGAATACCCACAATGCACCACTAACCCGTATATATATAAATAGCCGAGAAAATAACAGCATATGTGGCCTGACGATTGCATATAGCATGAAACAGACTGTCGCCTCTAAGTGTTGACTTCTATGTTCACTTTTATATTTACACACGCTCTATCTCTGATATTGAGCACTTTATCCCATAAATATAGCACACCTTAAGACTATATTTCATTTATATATATATATATATATATATATATACATGTTCTCCATCAGTTGAAAGTGGAGTTTAACTAAAGTATAATTGGTAGTGTGCGGATACTGAGACCTAGGAAAAACATCACTAACCGTTAACAAATTAATCTGTTGCTGTGAGTTCAATTCTCTCCGTGGGATCCATACCTGTATTCTTGTGTCAGAATAAACTAAACCTTAATTGATTTGTTTTTTCTTTTTTCTTTTTTGGGCTTCTCAAACTTTTTCAGGTTATTTAAAGCCAGAAAATATTCTTAGATTGTAAAAATTTATAGACAATAATGATGCACTAATACACGCCCTACTAATTAACCCATAGCTGGAGGAGAAAAAGAAGTCGATTCATACCCTACCCAAATGTATTTGCGCGTAATTTAATATAACAAACCCGACTGGAATTGGAACACGGTCCTCCGAGCCTTTATCCATTACACCATCCAAGCTTACAGCACCTGGTATCCCCAAGCGGGAACCCATCTAAGAACGACCAGACTCGATGTTGCTTAACTTCGGCGGTCGTACTAGATATGGCCGTAAGTCTACTAAACCTAGACTAGGTTAAGTAAATGCATACCTTCTAAGATCGATATCTCAGGTCACGCTGAAAACGCTCTTAGTATCATGTATCCCAATAAAGCTGTCGTATTTTCGGGTCCTCGGCAACTAAACCGGTTCCCCCACCAGGCTTTTCTGATAAGGAGAGTGTGTAGACAAACAAGAAGGATTAAATAGAACACCTGTAAATGCGCAGATGAATCTTCTTGAAGGGTCAACAGTTTAGCTGACACAATGAGTTAAACTGGAGCCCATAGCTGTGCGGTGACGGCACGGCGTTGCTGGGTGGAGGGCTTCCTAGACTGGAGTCAACATCCAGGGTGGGGGGTTCGACCGATTAAATCAACGGTCACGTGTACGTGACCAAGGAGAGCCTTCAAATTCGGTTATGTCATCTGTGGTTTGACCCAGAGAGAGGTGGGCTCTGCCAAGTTCACTTGCTCGATACGTGCTACGCATAGATCAATACCTCCCCGGCTTTCAATCCAGATATGTGGAGGGGGGGGTTGGGCACTGAGCTGCGCAACGACCCTACGACCACGCCTGGACTGATAATTATGATAATATTTTATGGAGTTATGATTAGAAACGACGTTCTGCTTACTGTTACTAATGTAATAAAATCGATCCGCACGGTGACCCTCACATGGTTTGCCTTGTGCCAGACTTGTTTCTTTTTAGATACGGTTTCTTTTCCGACCCAATCTAGAAATATAATTACTTTTTTTCTGTGAAACAAAAGGAAATAGTTTGTTCTCGATTGTACGGTGTCTGGAAACATTGATTCAAAACGTGAGAGTGAATGTTTCCACGTATCTGCGTACGTTCCATCACGCGCATGCGTAACTGTCTGTCTTTCAAGGTGTCACCAGCTTCCGGAATACGCCATTTTCAGATGTGTTGTTTACAGGGATATTGTTTCAAAGTACGGAGTTTCTTTGTCGTTGTTTGTTCAAGATAATCTTTAAACAGCTTCTTTTGAAGATGTTTGAAGATATGTTATTTTTTTTTTCTAACGCTGTTTGTGGTAGGTTTTTCTTTTTTCATTATTTAGAAGAAGTTCTTTAAAGACATTCTCCACAAAGATCGCTTTGTTTCGAGTTATAATATTTAACAGCGTTCATGTTATTGTCTTTTTCTTTCTTTCTTTTACTCTATCTTTTTTTTTTTTTTTTTTTTTTTTTCTCAAGGAAAATTTACTCCGGGTCTTAGCGTACTTGCTTTGATCTATATTTATAAAATTAGATTAAATTAAAAATTTTGAAAGATTTAAGAACAAATTTGTTCTTTCATAATTTACTCTGTTGGAATGACTGATATAGACAGATAAATTTACCGTACCATCCAAAACTAATCAATACATTTCTCGCGATATAGAAATACTGTGTTCATTGGTGTAAACGTACCGGTTGTAACAGCAAAATTGTTCAAATCGTGTAACAACATGGGATAATTGCCCATCCCACAAAATGTTTAATATCTATTAAAAAAACCCACTAAACTAATTAAAATTAGAAAAGATCCAACTCAATTCATAAGCCGTTTGGCACGTAAGGGAGCAGTTTCAGCTATGACAGTTCAAAGGGTAATGAAAAAAGATTTGAAAATGAAATCATACGTGAAAAATGTGAGAAGGTTAGAGGGGACATGCATCATCTTGAATAAGTTGGAAAATGATCCTGGAGTAATATATATATTGTTAGGTACCTATTCTATTGTAATGGATTCTCCCATAGATAATAAGTAGGAGTAGCAGTGGCAAGTCTGGCAGAATGGTGTTGAGCGCGTCAGTTGAGATTCGGACATTTGAAGTACCAACCATTACAACTAGATTGCTGCGCCATTGACTCTTATTTTCCAAGTTCTAACGTTTTGTACGTCGGACCTAATTTAGGACGACTTATTAGAAATACAAGCCTATACTG